GATGGTCAAAAGAAATTGCTAGGTAATATATAAGAGGAAAAAGAGAAATTATATGGAGAAAAAGTTCCAAAATTATCTGAAGAACAAAAGAATTCGGATGAGGGTGAATGGAACAATGGTAACAATAGCACTGAGAACAAAAAATAAATACAATTGTATAACATGGGGTAAGAAGGCATGGATTTCATATTCAGGTACAGTTATTTTGGGATTATCTATTTGTTATGGAAACTCATTAATTTCATATAAAAAGAATGTTAAGGAAACGATAGGTGATGATTCTCTGGATACAGGACTTGAGGGTTATGATACTATTAATACGTCAGATAATGAGCAAATTATAGATGTTTGTTTAGACAAGAAATATGATTTTGAACATTAATTACATATTTTTGTACATAGAAAAAAAATATAGCTTAAATATTGCATTAAATAAGATAATAAATAAAAAAAAATATAATACAAAATAAAACAAATTAAAATATACACAAATGAAATATTTTACCTAATAACGATATAAAAAAAAATAAAAAATTTTCCTATATATACAAAAACAATTCTGATATACGATTGAATATTATATATAATATATTTACTGGGTATTTTTGTTATTATATAATGGCTACTAGTTGTTCGAATATGTGCACAATATTTCATGAACATCGCATTTAAAAGAAAAAAAAAAAATTAAATAAATAAGCTCATTTTAATATAAGAAATATAATTATAAAAATGAAAAAAAAAATACTAAATCATATAACATGAACCCTGACACTAAAATCTGAAAACTAAACCCAAAACCTGAACTCTGATACGACAAACCTAAAAAATACCAAATAACTCACATAGAAATTTTCATGTAAAAAAATTTCTTTTACATATTTAGAATTATAGTACAATTATAACTGATATTTTAAAAATAACATTTTATTGAATAAACATACTGCAAATCATAAATTAGAAGGTACTTTTAAAATATTAAAATTATTTTTATTATAAATTAATAAGTCCATATATCTTTGGAAAATAAATTGCTTGTAAATTTTTAATGGAAATATATTTTTTTACTGATATGAAATATAAAAATCTAGAAAAAGTTTTATCAGCTTTTATAATAAAAGAACTAAAATAAAGTAAAATAAAAAAGAAATAAAAATATGTTAGCAATATATAAAATAAAAAAAAATTTTAATTTATTGGTTATAGTGCATTAGAATGTTATTATTAATTTTAATAATATATAAACAATACATTGCGAATATAATATGTAAATGAGGTAGAACTTAATAAAATCAAAAAAAAAAAAATTAGTTTATGATGTGTATTAAATTAATAAAATGAACATAAATGGCAATGACTGCTTTAATAAAGTATACAAATATATTCTTATTAGTGTAATTTATATAAATGGAATTTTAAATTATAATATTTTGTAAAATATAAAAAATTTTATTTTATTTTTTTAATCAATTGTATTTATGTACATAGAATTATAAGGAACATTTGTAAAGAATATGTATTATAATGTAATGGAATCTATAATATATATTATTATAAATTCCAAATAATTAATTTCACATTCATATTGCATATATCTTGGAATTCTTATAATATACATATATATATAATTTTTTCCTATAAACGAACATAATTAGATGTTTCATAGAACACTCTTAAAGAAACTATACGTCAAAAATTATTACAAAAATGAACAAAACTCTAAACAAAAATCCATAATCCTAAATAACATCCTACATATTCATTTTATATAGTAATATTCAATATATTAGTATATAAATAGTATAATCCATGATTGTTTTATTTTGTTTATATGTCACAAGACATTCTTTAGTAATGAGTAGCACACTAGGGGTAGGTTTTTCGTATAATGTAAATTATTATTAATATAAAAATATTATATTTTTTTTTTAAATTAGTTATTTTATTTTTTTTATAAATAAAAATTTATATATAATCTTTTGTTTTAAATTCACAGGTTGATGAACTCCACAAATTACCTTCAGAATTGATGTACGCTAATTTCTATAGGAATGTTGATAATTGTAAAGAATACCCCTTTTATGAAAAAGCAAAGTCTAGTATAGAAAAGGAAGAGTGGGAACAAAATGTTTCAAGCAAAATACTTAATGCCTTATGTTATGTATATAATGAAAGTATAAATAAAAAAATTGATGAATCTACTTGTAATTACCTATACTATTGGTTAAATGATACAATATATACTAATATAAAATTTCAGTTACATTCAACACTTGTAATACAAGTACTTAATTTTTTACTACAAAGTATTGATGGTCAGAATATATGTAAGTATGATCAATATAATATCAATAAGGAAAATTATAAAGATATTAAGATTTTATTTGATTTTTCGAAGGATTATGATATGCTTAAAAAATATTTTAGTAATGATTATAAGTTTTGTAATAAGGATTTTCAGGATTATTTATATAGATATATCAGAAAATATAACGAGTTCAAAGACATATGTAATAAACCAAACAGTAGGAAAGAGATTTGTAGTGCTTTTTATAATTATTTTAATCGTAGGACTGAAGAAAACTTATCTCAATGGAAATGCACCTTAAAAAGAAGTAATCCTAATTATGCAACCCAAAAAGAAGAACATGCAAGAGTAACACAGCCAAATGTACAAGGATTAAACATAGTACAGACACATGCAGTTGTAAATGCAGATAATAACGGAAACAAGGAACATGAATATGTAAATCAATATGCAAATATGAATGAAGATGTACATGATTTAAATCATAAACAATCGGAATATTTTTCTTTCACAAAGGAAAGTCAAGAATTGAGTGCCGTTATTGACGTTTCAGGTAATCCTTCAGGTTCAACCTCAAAAAGTATGGCAATTCCTCCTTTAGCTATAGGAATTTCGATTTTTTCTATTATATTGTGCAAAGTAATTATTAATTTGAACAAGAAAGAAATGTGTATTACACTATACTAGATAAATTTTATTAATTATTAAACATATCTGAAAATATTATATATTAAATGTGTTGTACATGTACCATATTATAATTAGTTTACTCCAGTTGGATATTGGTTAAAAAAAGCATTACTGGGAAAATCAAAAAGGAAACGTAATATAATAATTGAGAGAAATAAAATAGAAGATTTTTCGATCACTGAAGATTTAGATTCACAAAGAAGATTTAATATAAGTTACAGTAATAGATATTAGTTCTTATAAGAAGATAAAAAGGAAAATTTTTTTGTTACATATATAGGTATCGGTATGAAAATTTTTACAGAATTATTCATCTAAAAAAGGGGAAGAGATTATTTTATTTTGAATAATGGAATAATAAATTTGAAATGTATATTCTTATAGTATAAATAAGTATTCTTTTTAAAATAAAATATTTTTTTATTATCATATGCTTAATCATATAATTAAAAAATATATATACAAATTTCAAAATATATAATGGTTCAGGGATTAGGGTTCAGGTTTTATGTTTTAGGTTTTTGAGTTAATTTATATTCTGCACTAGATTTTGTTATGAATCATTTATATATTTATACTTATGATTATACTAATTAGATAACTGTTAATTTTGCAATGTGATAAATTTTAGATTTAATAAATATTAATTGTTATTATATACTTACGAAATGGAATGAGTGAAAATTTCTATAATATTGAAATTATTATGCGTTATCACACTGTAAGAAAATCTTTGCAAAATGGTTGTCATGAACATAAATTTTATGGAATATACTATATCCAACTTAGTACATGTTACATTTTGTTAGTAAATATAATAGATAGGCGAAATAGAAATATTTAAAATATAATATATATATTTGTTGGAATAAATTATCCCTATTAGTTTTTTCATTTTATTTTTATATATTAATATTTGGATGCATATGAATTTTTGCCGAATGTACATATTTTATGAATGATCATGCATTATATTTATTAATTATACAATAAGTTTTATCTTGTTAGTTAATAATTTATTATTAC